CCCGTTCAACGCGCAGGACACCCGAACAACACGCTTTTCTTCTGGGCGGTCGAGAAAACACAAGGCTCTCTTACATCCCCAGCTGGCCCGGCGGGTCCGACGCCAGCACCTTGGGGCATATGGCTCAATGGAGGGTGAGAATTTTGACCGCGTGTCGTGCTATCTATACATATGTATCGAACGCCGTTATTTTCAGACCAGGCTCCTCGAGTTTGGCTGGATTTCTATTTGAGGTGTGTAAACAGTCGCTTCTCATCCTACAAGCGTCTTACTCGATCCCTTTCATTCGTAGAACGGGCCGATTCGCATCGGTAGTGATTATGCAGCGCATCCAAATGAACACAGCTGGGATAAGGTAGCGGATTACATTTGGATCGACCAACCGGTGTATGTGGTGATACCTACAATGATACTCTACGCGTGGTACTCATTTCCGTTCTAGTGGGACAGGATTCGCTACTGCCGATGCCGATGGTTACGGTACGCAGATTCTCAACTTTGACTTTTCAACGCTACCCTTCTAACTGCTTAAAACTTAGTCGCTGACGAAGATCAGATGGGTCAAGACTTTGTGAGTTGCAACTCCTTGAGTTGTCTGCTATTCCTCATTCAGCTCGCTAGATGGGATTCTTGGATAATCTGGTCAAGGTGTTCCCAAACTTGGCGGGTAGGCCGCTTTACCTCAGTGGAGAAAGCTATGCCGGAACATACATCGTACGCATTTTCTCCTATCCAGTGATATCGAAAATGACTAAAGAACCATGCCAGCCCTACATCATGAAAGCGTACTTTGGCACGCCCAATCCTCCTGTGAAGATTGCCAAGATTGCGATAGGAGATGGTACCCTGACTTCCGAGCAAGTCTTTGAACTCTTACCCGCTGTACGTACCTCACATTCCTCTCCTCGCGTCACTCACTGACACATTCATCATGTAGATCAAAGTCATCGAAACGTTCCCGCAAATCATCGGCTACGACATCGAAGTGCACAGATACTTCGAAGAACAGTCAGTGTTGCTTTCGAACCCCCTTTGGCTTCACTAATGCGGTCCAACTTAGAACCCATTTATGTGGATACGACGTCAATCTTACATACCCTCAGAACGGTATCATACCGACTGTCCCGCTCCAACTCCCTACAGGTCGGGACATTCCCTGGGCGATGCAAATGGCACAGCGACATTCCCAAGCCCGAACATTCAAATCTTTGTTTACAGCCAAAATCATGGAACGTACGGCAGCTGGAGAGGACCTACGTCACCTTTGGAACCCAGCCGTCAACAGATTGACGAAACGTGATCGTGAAGTTGCGAGGATGAATTGGAAGAGAGATTTAACGGGTAGAGCTAATGGAACCATTGATGCCTGGGTACGTTTCCATTACATTGTGGCAGAGAGTGAGTCATCTCTGACAAACAGTTCTGCAGTATGGATGCTTGCTATTTGATGAGTTCATGGATTATGCTATCAACTTTACCTTCCCCTGGAGTAAGCTGCCTCTTTTCTTTTCTCCATTGTTCTGTTGCTGACCGTTTCTTTGACGCATAGGCCTTGGCCAAGACAGTGAAACATGGCCATTTAATGTGAGATATTCCTTTCATACTGTAGTTTGCTCGCCCTCACACCTTGTTATAGTATTATGACGTACCTGACGCAACGAATCCCCAACCGGCTATGGACGCTTCAATCTGGCTTAATGGTGCGTTTTCGTTGACCTCCGGCAATGTTAAGCAAATGCCTTACCTCCCGGTTAGACGACCGCACACGAAAGGCACTTCACGCGCCTACAGATAAAGACTGGGCAATGACGTTCCAATTCCCCTTCGGAGCCAAAGGATGTAAGTACTACCGTTTCTTCTCCGCCGTCGTTCGGGTTCGCTGACTGTCTGACGCTAGTCGCGGATCCAAGTGAGTGTCTTAGTGTTCGTGAGTTTGATCGGCTTCTGACCGAAGGCCCAATTATGTGTACGCAGGCGTCGAGTATGTCCTCCCCTTGATCTACCTTTTCATCTCAGGCTAAACGATTACCTCTAGACCTATGGCATTCCTTACCGACTTAGCAACTAACGCTACAAAGCAAGGAATTCACGTTGTTCTCTACTCCGGCAATAATGATGCTCTCATTCCCCACTTTGGTACTGAACGTGAGTGTCTTCCCTGCTGCAATGACTATACGATGCTAAATGTCTTTATATAGTCGCTATTCAGGCAAGTTAATCCATGTTATAGCTACAATTCCAAACCTTGACTTTAACACAGAACACAACGTTTGGAGGAATTCAAGGTTTCACGAAGAAACCATCAACACCATGGTATGACGATTCTGGGAACTTTGCTGGCATCATCCACCAGGAAAGGAACTGGACATACGCATTGTTCGACGACGCTGGCCATCTCATTCCCGAATCCAAGCCTGAAGCGGTACAGTATCTCAGTTTTCAAAGTCTCGGTCCTTTCTCATTGATGTCACAGGCCCTCGTCTTCATACGGGACTTCTTCTTCGGAGACAAACAGACTGGACTCGTTCAATCAGATGGTAGTGTTGTCGGTGGACAGGATCCCCAGCTCGCCTCTGATATCCTTCCCGGCCATCCGGAGATCTATTATGGCGCTGGTGCCACACAGTCGACATATGTATTCCCAGAAGCTACGAGAGCTGCGTGGACCGAGCACACCAAGTCGAAGGCGCTATCGACCACGAATACTGCGTTGAGCGTGGGTATTTCGGACTCTAAAGCCGGGTTGCTAGCAATTCTGGCTTTGAACGTACTTTTTATGCTGTGATGTGTATACCCCAAGTCTTTCTTGTTGAACGGTGGGCTGACGGTTGACCTCTGGAGGTCGCTACGATATAAATTATTGGTATATATTTATCTTCATGTCCTCGGACGTATTGACTAGTGCAAATGGACTGTCTCGCATGTTCTCCTTTTGTTGACTTGACATTCTAAGACCGTAGTTTGAGTGTGGTTTTCGTCTGCGGAATCTATCATCCATAAGCTCGCGTCTTTGACGCGTGGCTCCCCGAGAGTTAAAGTGAATACCTGGAGCGTCGTCATAAAGTGTTGCATCAAGACTACCCGAGAGTCAGGTGACCGTAGTCGCTTTGTTCCTGGCCGCTAATCATGCCTCTTTGTTACCATTTTCCTACTTCTTTGCTTGCATGTACGTTGCCTCTCACTCGTTCTTTCCATCAGTCTTTGACACCATTACCCAGAGGATATTCAATCTAGCAGCTATTACTCGGTTTGGTATTGTATCAGGTTTTAGGGATCGTGGTGAGTATCAAACGCATCGCTATTGCTCGGTATATTCACACTGGACGTTTTAAAGGGGGACCGTACCACGACTAGCATGACTTCAAGCGTACAACCTCCTTCATTGGCCCTGGCCAAACTACATGCAAGCAACGCATCCCCATCCGCCATCGAGAAGACGACATGCTGCAGCGAATTGATAGCCATAGAGAGCCGCATCGCAACGTTGGAACATAACATCACAGAGTCCCTGAAAGGAATCGATGTCATGCAGGAGGAGCAATCACGGTTAACAGACTACGCCAGGATTTATCAGAACATCCTTCATCCTATTCGCAGTCTTCCGGCTGATGTCCTCCGCGAGATATTCTTGGTATGCCTTGAATGCAAGGGTTCGGACATTATGAATCCAGCTTTGGACATACCCAAGAATGTGTTGGACCCAAGACTGCCTCCGTGGAATTTGAGTCAAGTTTGTCGTGCATGGCGACGAATAACACTCGAAACACCGTTATTGTGGACAGTTTTGCGCCTTGCGATAACGAAAACTGGAAGCTCTAAACGTAGGAGCTCAGCGGCGCGTCTTTTGACGACCTTTTTGTCTCGCTCAAGGAATCTTCCGCTCAGCGTGGATTTGAGTAGTTCCCAACCCGTTGGTTCCGACAATCTACTCTTGTTCACGCTTTGCTCTCATTCCTACAGATGGGAGCGATTGCGAGTTACGTTCGTCCCGATGACTGGAGATCTTGTAGAAGGCATGACTTCATTGGTCAAGTCAGAGGTGCCTATCTTGCATTCCTTGTACTTTGATGTACAAGCCTCTTTCGGGCGACAGCGTATCGTAGACGCTTTCGAGGACGCACCTAACCTCCGGAATATCACAGTACCTGGTCTTTCGCCCAGTCTCCTTGCTAATATACGAGTACCTTGGCCACAATTAACCCAATTTCATCGGTTAGCCATCCCCTTCAGAGTTTCTACGACACACTGCGACCATCTCTCTCGCATGCCGGACCTTTTGGTCTATACCGATAAAGATTTCGTGTGCCCTCCTGGGCCCGCGATCCATCTACCGCACTTGGAAGAGCTCAACATCACACTCTCCCTCAGCAACCCCACCACCGCGCCGGTCGCGATGAATCGCCTCCAAATGGGCGAGAAATTTACAGAGTTACGGGTTTACCTCACCTGTCCAGACGACAAGGAGTCATTGACACAGTTTCTCTTCCGCTGGGGTGGCAATCTTCGTAGCCTCTCTTTACGTGGACCGGCCTTCACAGACTCTGAGATCGTGGAGATGCTGGGTCACTTGAAGGCCCTTGAACACCTCTCGCTTTATACAATGACGCCACAGGCCGAGTTGTTAAAGGCGTTGGGCGAGCAAACTCAAGGCCAATGGTTCCTTCCACGACTTCAGCATTTATCTTTCTTTGGACATCCGAGGTTCAGGCAAGGCATGATCGTCGAGATGCTAAATGCGAGGTTGGGCAGCAGTAACCGTTTGCTGGACATTGGACTACCTGTTAGTGAACAGCTTTTCGTGGAGGATGCAGAAGCGCTACGGGCTCAAGGCATAAAGATTTGGTATACACGGCCAGAGTGGTGGATAGCGATAAGACACTAAAAGAACTCCTAGTATAGCGTCTTGTACACGAAATCCATTTGTAGGAAATATGCGGTAAAATATTGGTGCCTAATACGAGATATGCAAAACAAAATAATTACGTACACCCTTTTCAAATGGGCCTGACCGGGAATTGAACCCGGGACCTCCTCGATACGACTTTTGAAGCCCTAACAAGGAATCATACTACTAGACCATCAGGCCGTGAGGAGGATTGCCTTTTTGGCTTATATCAGCGTTATTGTATCTTTCGCTAAAGGGACGCGTCATCTGTACGCAACTGTACGCGTCTTCCAGTTCCTTACCACCATGGCAAGTCAAGCCTCAACATCATCTGGAGCGATGGACGAGAGGAGAAAAGAAGCACTGAGGAGCTACAGAGACGTGAGTAACCTTATTGTTCATATTGGTGAAGCCTCATCACATTCGAACAGAAAATGCGGGCCCACGAAGTTAGTAGTGAAAGCCTAAAGAACTGTGAGCGTTCAGAGTCCTGTCTCGCCACCAGTCTCTTAACCTGCCTTAGTGCGATTCTCTTTGAAGGATTTGGAGCGGGACTATGAGAAGACAGAAGAGGACATCAAGGCCGTCCAATCCGTTGGTCAAATCATTGGCGAAGTCATGAAACAACTGGACGATGAGCGATGCAAGTCACTTCACTTCAAAGCATAGAATCCAAACTCACATCTAGTAGTCATCGTGAAGGCCTCATCTGGACCCAGATACGTTGTTTCGTATCGTCCCACTCTACCCGTGGAGAAGTTAAAGAACGGCACTCGAGTTTCTCTCGATATGACAACGTTGACGATCATGCGAATTTTGCCTCGGGAAGTTGACCCCTTGGTCTACAAGATGAGTTTAGAAGATCCAGGAGGTGCTTCATTTGCAGGAATTGGTGGCTTGACTGAACAAGTCCGGGAGTTGCGTGAGGTGTGTCTTTATTCCTATTCACCGATTGTGTGCCTAGAACAAAATCGCCTTCGTCCAGATCATTGAGCTACCATTGATGAACCCAGAGCTCTTCCAACGTGTAGGAATCAAACCTCCAAAGGGCGTCCTGTTATACGGCCCTCCTGGAACCGGAAAAACCCTTTTAGCACGAGCAGTAGCTGCCACCCTCAACACTAACTTCCTGAAAGTCGTCTCTTCCGCCATCGTCGACAAATATATCGGAGAAAGTGCAAGAGTCGTCCGAGAGATGTTTGGTTACGCCAGAGACCACGAACCATGCGTCATCTTCATGGACGAAATTGACGCTATTGGTGGACGACGTTTCTCAGAGGGTACCAGTGCCGACCGTGAAATTCAGCGAACTTTGATGGAGGTTAGTGGCAAAAACGATTCATTGGCCTATCGGCTCATCATTGAGTAACAGTTGCTAAACCAAATGGACGGTTTCGACTCCCTTGGACGCACCAAATTGATCATGGCGACAAATCGACCCGATACCCTCGACCCTGCACTTCTTCGTCCTGGTCGTCTAGATCGTAAAATTGAGATTCCTCTTCCAAACGAACAGGCGCGGTTAGAAATTCTCAAGATTCACTCGGCGCCTGTTAACAAGGCAGATGACATTGACTATGAGGCAATCGTGAAGGTGCGTTTCGGTCGTATCAATCTTTCTCTGTCCTTTTGACTAAAGTTTTATTAGCTGTCTGATGGCTTCAATGGTGCCGATTTGCGTAATGTGATAACAGAGGCTGGCATGTGTGCAATCCGTGACGATAGGTAAGTGAACCTTTCTACCAACATGAGTGTTATCGCTGACCTGTCGATAGGGAGTATATCACCCAGGAAGATCTAACAAAATCCGCGCGAAAAGTAGGAGATGCCAAGAAACACGAAAGTAAGCTGATATGTTTGTCTTGTCACGAAGCTAGTCTGACTGTTCCTTTAGCGAAGTTAGAATATTCTGCATAATCATGACCTGTATTGCTTTTTCTCCTTATGTTTCTCTCAATGCATATTGATGAACCGAATCCTTGGAAAGTCAAGCTCCTGACATCTCCGTTGGTCGTTCACGGCTTCGTGAGGCCTGTATTCCCTGTATCGCGATATACCATATTCGAACCTGGCTCCCTTCCTTTTGTCGGGTATGCTTCTTCGTCAAGTGAATGTTTTACTGGCTGTACAGGGTGGCATACACCTTTGCTTTAGCCTCATTAGGCCCATGTTCTCTCTTCGTATCCGCACACCGCCGACTGCGATATCAGTGGACATAATGACCTCAGGCGTATCGTAACCTAGGCATCTGGAGTTTGACCGAACTACAAAAAGGTCTTCTCAATAACAAAGCTGTAGACTTCAACAGCATTTGCATGAGAACCCCGCAATCTTTCAATGCAAAAGGGTTTCTCTGACTTTCATGTTCCACGATGTTCGCAAGTTATGACGAGCTATGATATATGATGTCTCGTACTGACATGTCATCCAGATTCTTTGAACTAGGACACGTCCATTAGGCAATACCTTTCTTTGAGCAAGACCATAAGTGCTCATAAACATTTCAGGAAATTCGGAATGATATTTCGTGCATATGTTCTTACCTCCGACTTTACAGCAAGCCAAGACCATGTAAGTGGTCAAAGCTCAGGCCACAATTCTACGATGGTTTTTCCGTCCCGGTGGAAATCACTCGACGAAAATGTCACCTCTTCGAAGCTCGGTTTCGGATAATTGTTATGATACAGTAGATCCGGCATGCGAGTTACTTCCATCTCATCTATGGCAGCGCTTGGCATCCGATAGATGTGGCATAGACAGTTGGAACAGACGGTCCGACCAGGGGCTTGCAGCCTCGTCCTTCTTCCCCTTTAAATTAAATCTACAACGCCAAGGTCCCGCAGCTAGGTTTACGATGGACCTCAGAGATCTCAATACCGACGTTTTGCTGCGGACGCGAGCAAACAGGCAGTGTACGTCCTCGAGGAACATGCACAATTAATCCTAGATATTAGCCACCTCCGAATATTAAGCTCAGACGCAGCTGCTATATGGCAGTCATACCGTGATGACCGGTGTATTCGATGAAACCAGATCGTACATTACAAGTCTATTGGGTGGCAGTACAGTCTAGAAATACACGAGAAGAATAATTAAATCGTTCGCCGGCGGTTACACCACCACTTGGCGTTGGAGGCAGGTACTACAGAGATAGAAACGTCATACTCCAAGAATCAAAGTACTCTTGGCCCAAAGAAATCACGTCAAATGAGTTAGCAGCGCTCTGCGCTGCGAAGATAACATACAGAGTGTGATGAATGCGCCAACAAAAAACCCCGTCACTGCACAGGAGATGGTATCTTGCATCGTCCAGGGTGACGCGGTACTCTGCTCCCTGGGGCGACCCTCGTCATCAACCTCCGCCGATGGCAAAGTGGTTGGGAAATAATCCATGCCAATGATGCAAAAGGGCGATAGCGGAGATATTGTCTCTTCTATCAGAGGTTTTGCATGTGGAGACAAAGCTGTAAAGTAGCGCGAGGTCGATGTAACGGGTCCGTACTCTGTATTGCGGAGTGGAATAGATATGCGAAGTGGTGAAGGGGTGTCAACTAATTCGGTGTCCACCTGGGAATGTATGGGTCTGTATGTTTCGCGGATGGGTGGTAAGATGTCTATGTCTGAAGGGCGGAGACTGACAGGTGAAGGTGGCGCGGAATGGGAGTGCGCAAAAGGTGAAAAAGATACACGTGACGACGGTGAAGGAGGTGCGCTGATACTCAAGGGGAAACAACCGCTCGACCTACGAGAAGAGGGGGTTGTAGCGGATGTCTCAATACCATGGTGGTCCTCGTTGAATTCCGCTTTTCTAAGCCTGGTTTGTGATGGCGCATCGTAAGAAGCGCCCGACAACGGTGTGACTGGGGAGACGGGTGAGGAGGCGCTCGAGGAGGAGCAGGCGGTCGGAGACGAGGGAATAAACAATTTAAGTGGTGCCTTACGATCGCGAGGAGAAATGGACGAAGATGGCGACAATGGTATCACGGACTCCAAAGGCTCGACTGTCGTGCGACATTCCACAACTGACAGATTTACACGCCTGTCACCCTGATTAGAGGCCGGGCTAGACAGATCGACTGTCACAGGCGTAAATTCACTGTCTTTGACGATAATCGTAGCTTGTTCCCGGACAATTTCCTCCAAATTGACAACTGCTCGTTGGAGAGTCTCTACCTCCGAGTCCGTAACCATCCTGGCATGGCTATTCCTGGAGATCAAGGATCGTACTTCCTCGGCCAATAACATTATCAGGCCCTTGATAACGCCTTGCATCTCGGAGAAGTCTCTGGAACCGCTCTGTTCTGGCCAATGTGCGATAATACCAGCCAGCTCCCGGGTTTTCGCAACGGCGGATCGCGCCGGATCCTCCTCCAAAATCATATCATGAAACCAGGGATGTAAGAGCGTCATGGCTAGACGCACGGACCCAACGGTGAGGTCGCGCATCCGGGCATGAAAGGGAAGTCGTAGGAAATGGGCCTGTAAATCAAGGCAAAACTTTCTGTATGTTCCTTTCCTTGAATCATTGAAACTCCATGCTAAAGCCGCGAGACCATGTTTTTCGTCGATTGGCCTGGATGGCCGAGGACTCAGAAAGTAAGAGGGGAGACTCTGAATGATTTTGAGTAGGGGGATGGAAGCGATGACCGCTGAACGGGGAATAAACCCATGCACAAGAACAGATTGCGACTCTTGGGCAAAACGATACCAGCGCCAATGGTTCGTATGTTGTCTGATGAGCTAGTTAATTGAATAGAAGTGTTGGGTATGAGAGTAGGATTCACCTTTCTAGTGGTTTCTTTCTGAGTAACTGTATGGCGGTCGCTGCCCTCCCAGAAAGCGCTGTTGCATCGATGACGGCGATTTCTACATCGTGCTTCATTCCAGAATTATAGCGCCGTACGGCATCCCACAAGGACCACGCAAAGCTGAAAGATGTAGAAATAAAGGGTGATGAGCTCCTTGTTTCCCAATCCAAATGCCTTACGCAGTCCTCGTAGGTTGCTACATCGAGCAACGATGTGCCTATTGGGCCATGTATCCCGGACATTACTGGAGTCTTGGGTGCAAATTTTGCATCGAATTTCGAGCCGATGAAGAATATGGAGTCGTCATTGTGTGGAGAGCGCAATCTTGGAGTGTAGACGCGGAAAAGGAAAGGATGGTATCGAATGATTGTTTCGAAATTGACGTCGGGTCCA